TTCCTTAAATTAATGTTTTCAAAAAAAACTTACTAAACAGAACAGACCAGCCAGCAATACAGTGTTGAAGACGTTGAATTGATGGCGGCCTCGAAAGGAAACTTTGTAAACGTCTCATTATTCGAGTACATGTTTCCAATCGAAATTTCTCCTTGTTACGATACTTGGGTGGTTTGGGTGAACAGGAAGATGTCAGCGACACACTGGATGATGAACGCGAGAAAACAACCGAGACAGCTAATGATTCTGGCTATAACAATCAACTTATTCTTCTACCATATATAATCAATGTCATTACAACTTCCTACGCATTTATGTCCCCTAATGCTGCTGAATTTTTTGCAATTTCACTTCCGAATAACTTTCCAAGAATAAAAATTCCGAAAATAAAGGCTGCGCTACTAATTCCGGACTGTAAAAATAGAACTTAATTATTTAAGCATCAGATAGTAGTGATTACTGCTAGTGTCAATATAATGACTTAAGATTTTACAAACACAATCAAATGCCAACAGGACATGGAGACTCCATAATGGTGATACAATATTAACTCCCATTTATCATTCACTACATTGCTGAATTAGTTCATTTACAAAAAGTATGATGTAACTATATCCATAACTAATCTAAGCGATAAACAAATGCAAGAATAAACAAGCAACCGCTTTATTTTATATCTGTCATTTAGCAGTTGTCGCTTTATAAATATTAATGTAAACAATTCATTAGAACATCATTTCTTCATACTACAGAAGTTATCGATTCGACTTAAATGGTATGATTATTTAAAAAACGAATGTGCAGAAAAGTTTGTAGCTGGAGAAAAGAAAAGGATATCAAAACTGAAAATGAAAACGAGGAATAAAACTAAATATCTAGAAAAGCATTCATCCTGCAAATTGGTTAAAGGAACATCATTTATGAGAAGCAATGTAGATATCAGTGATTAATTTCCTAATATATTCGCAAAGTCTAAAGGAAAAAATGAAAAAATGCCAACCTCCTGTTTAAACTGTACAGTATTTTGGTCGTGTGAAGAAAGGGGAATAATACAAGGTTGAGAGCCTGAACGTGTGCGACATAATGAGCTTTTTTGCGCTTGGTGAGCAGACTCATCTTGCAATTTAGGTCGTGTGTCTGGAAGGTCATCATTTGATTCTATTAGTTTATGAATTGAAGATAATGGTGGTGGCGTATTTGATAATTCCATTTCGTTAATGCGATTCACTGAGCTGAAAATTACGAGTGCATGAAGTTCGTCGCCTTCATTCATTTTGTATTTAATATTTATATTTATATATTTATGTTTATATTTATAATACGAAATATCCGGAAGAAATTTAACAATCGAAACAGATGCATTTTCTTAGGAATAATATTTATCGAAAGTTTTTTTACCGCAATTGCTTATCTTGCAAACTACGCGGCGTTCCACTTGCAGAGAGACCTGCAACACGAGAACGTGTAGAAGTTCTCAGATCCTTCGCAAAAGTTTGATTTTCGCTGTCCTGTGAAACTCCATATGAGCGCACGCTGCGTCTTGTTTCCATACCTTCCTCCAGTCGTCTTCTGACGATACCTAGCTCTGTATTTCGCTTGGTTACTATGCTCTGAAAATTTAAATTAGAAAATAATTTTGAAGAATTTCGATTCTTAAAAAAAATAATTATGCATAATTAGAATAGTTCAATAAAAATTTACCGTTTTACTTTTTTTTGGTGCAAAACAAGTTATTTTTTGCTCAATTTCTTTACTACCACTTGGCGTCCTTTTCTCCGTATTTTTTGCCAATTTCTCAGCGCTTCTCGTCGCCATACCCGCGCTAGAAGTTCATAATCAATACAATGATTTCACAGATTTCTTATAACACGATGAGAAGTGCAATTCCTTCATAAGATACAAGGTTGACTGACGATTTCTGTTCCTCGATAACTTGTGATTTACATTAAAACATGTATTAAATATATTCTGAATAGTAATGCAAAAGTTAGACAAAAGTACGGATATCTGAGCTCCGGAAAGAAGTAGCTCGAGCAAGATAAATAAAGCAAACTTAGCAATATTTTTTGAAGTCAACACAATGTTTTAAACATTTGTGTGAGATGACGGGCTCTTAAGTTCCATTTCAGTTTCTGAGCATTTCTTTAAAGAAAAAGAAACAACAATGGTTCTAGATTGATAAAATACTAATGAAGTGCATCTGGCATCACTTATCAAATTTAAAATATACCTTTTAGATGTTTTTGGTTTATCTGCTGAACGTGCTTCATTTACACATGTCAATAAATTCGTGTAGATATTTTCTGGATTTCCAACGCCCAAATTACATAGCGTTTTCAAACTTGTCCACGAAAATACATTTTGCTTTAGCGCCAACTTACCTTCATCAGCTGCTTCATCGGGTCGACCAGTTTCTCTGAAATAATCCGTAAATCATATCTGGTTCATTCTAATTTCCGTAGTATTGTTTAAAGAGCTGTAACATAAAAAATTTTCTCTTCCATCTCCACATTTCCATGAAAAATATTTATCATTTAAGTAACTATGGTCACATTTTTTTTCATAAAAAAGTATTTGCAACTAACATGAAAACTCTGCTGAGCAGACTATGGGCAAACGATTCTACAGAAGTTTTGGAGAAACAGTCATCTAATTTAGGCTGATCATGCATACGCAAAGCCATTTCTGCTTCTTGATATCTGAAAAAACATTTATATTTCGAAGTTAACATGAAACAACTTATGTGTAAGTGCATAAATATTTCGAACAGCTAGCACTATATTTTATTTATTTATAAAATTACACACATTGGCTGAATGCTTACAAAATAGAAATTTACTGAGAATATTTAAAGAGTTTGTTAGCGTATAAGTATTCAATGCCGCCAAAAGATTTATGAACATATTCTTCATATGCAATAAATTATATTCGAATTAGATTTCTAGTGCAGATCATCAATCTGCTACATGTCTTGCAATATTTTAAACTGCACATGCTATCTGTTCGGAGCTTGAAACTCTCCAACTGATATCATTGGAACAAAGTGTCCCGAAGTCTTAAAAGCGATTCTGGCCCAAGCAACCGCTTTTACATATTTCTTACTATTATTGACTATATGAAATGAAATATATGAAACTATATGAAACATGAAGCCTCTACAGCTCCATGCAAAAATTCATTTTGTTTGTAAACATTTGATAAAAAGAATGCAAAAGAATGCATTTCATTACAATTCAACAAAAACAGCAAATTCCATACTTTTCTAGATGATAACAGCAATGTGCAAACAAATAACGAATTTCAGGAGATGAAAGGAATTTGAGCTTTAATAAATTATATGCTGCCTCCATACGTTCAGCTCGAGTCAAACAGTAAGCGTATAAATACAACGAATCACTGGTATTCACTGAAAGATTAGAATGTATTTATCTGATGTAAATTCCATTTTTTAGTAATGACTGGCCCATTCAATGTGTATTTGAGCAGCAAACAATATGTTTCAACAAAGACTTGCTCAAAATTTCTCAAGATTTTGTGCAATCACTGCAACTTCCGCCAGAAAAGTTTTATTTTCATATTTTTTGGGAATAAGACTAGTACTATGTTTGAGCAATTCAAAAAAGAAAAGCTACCTGTTTCATAATACACTTCGGCGAGCATTATCGCGTCATCGTACTCAAAGTGTTGAAGGGAGCAATGTATAATATTCTAAAAAAGATAATCAAATTTATTTGAAACTATGATGATATAAATCACCATATGTATCAAGACGAAAAATTCAATAACAAAGTAGAGTGTGAATTTCATCAATGAAATACGAACAATAATCAAAGAATTAACCTCAATTTCTTTACTGCGCGTAGGATCTACATTAGCAGAAGGTGTAACTCTACGCATATTGGTACAGAAGCAACAGCAATCATATACAACCACTAGATCCGGTCTTGCTATTTTTTTCTGTAACAAATTAATTAAAATATCTAATTCATATTAAAATCCAAATTCATTCAACTAGAGGATTCTGGTCTGATCAAGTAATTAGTCAATATGGATTTATTAAACCAACGAAATGTGACGTGAAAATCATGCAATACGCTTGTTGGCACTATTAAGTAGGAAAGTTTTGTTATTTTAGAATGGCTTTTAACTTACTGTGAGAAATAAATAAAGTCAAGCACAAGATCTGCGGTCGACCCAAAGCTTGTGATAACCTTTTACCTGCAAAGGAAGAAATAACAAGCAGTGCATAAATAGTGCACAACTGATAAGAGTGAATGAGAAATAGTAAACAAACATATATGCAATACAAAGTAGATAGTTCAAATAAATCGCAGCTTAACAGTCTGATATTAACAAATCTAATCTTGTGTTTCAAGTATCAGTCATGCACTGGATCAAAGTCCAACTGGCCAAGCCAAAGACAACTAGCATACATCTTCTAGTTATTTCTCATTTTGTTATGCGAAAAATTCATCATATATTCATACTTCAACAGTGCTACTATCTCTTTGACCTTTAATGTCGTCTGACAATACAAGGAATATTTTCCTAGAAAGAAATGAAGGACTTTTAAAACTGAAAAACCCCAGAAAAACAAAGAACATCATTCGAATGAATTTGTTCAATCAGTGTGCCCAAGTTAATTAGAAAAAGAAGTAAATTTTCACCTTCGACCTTTGAAGCACAAGGTCAGTTAGTATCCGCGAGCCTTCAAATTGTCCTACTTACCGATAAAAACTCCTGTTAAGCACAGTGTTACGTTCACAATTCTAACCATTTTTGATAATAAAAAAGCCACCGGATTTTTAGGATTGAAGAAAATTAGCGTTCTGTAGAAAATGAGCAGTCTCAAGTGAGCTGTTCAGCACTATTGTGGGGGCTATAGAAGGTGCGACAAAGCTACACTCTCCTGTGCAGCACTTTTATCTCTTGTGGGACCTTATTAAAAGTAGTGTAATGAAGTTGAAATGAAAAATGATTCAAGGTACTACAAATATTAAATGAAAATAGGCTGCTGTCAGAAAGGTATATGCCAAGAAAGCGAGCGAGGTTCTCCCAAAAGTGCTTACTCGGAATTACGGGAACTCATAATCCACCGTTTTTCTCTATAATTAATAAAATTTGTAAAAAAATTTGCGATATATCTCACCAAAGCCTAACTACGGGCACTCAATTCTCCACATCGCACTAAACTGCAGGTCACTCATTTGCTGCATCTCGATGAACCACAGTTCATTCAGTACCACATCTCGCTAAACTACAGGTCACTCAGTCGCCATATTTCGCTGAAGTCATTTGGTCATCACGTTTTGCCGAACCACATCGCGTTCGGATGAACCGTGATTATACAGTTATCATATCACATCGCATTAAATAGCCGTACTGCACCAAACAATTCCTCATTCCTTACAATTACTACTACGAAAATGCCTCCTAAACAACACTTCTATCATCAAATGATAGGCCATACCTATAATTCCAAATTTTAAATTAGCGGAAAAATTACGGTAGACCCATTCCAAAGTTTTATCTGTCAATGGCTAAAACGGTAAGAGAAAGAAAGAAATTTCGATCTAGACTATTGCACTGGATAAGTTAGACAAGTAGATGGTCAAAAATATTTTGTGTCAGCGAATCAGAGGATCGGCTACGTCTGTTATAAAAGGACTGTGAGGCAAAATGTGTTCGAGATGCATTCATGGAGGAGGAAAGTGGGAGGGTAGGTGGATGGAGCCGTGGCGTAGATGATGATGTGGTGTGGTTGAGGGTGTGGCGTACGTGATGGCGTGACATACATAGTGTGATGTACTGTTATTGTTTCAGGCATTGATCAAATCTATAAAACGTGGCGACATGTCAGAGTTAGCTGTTAGCAGTTGTATTGGTTTCCTCTGCGGGAAGTAAGTTTCGCTTCATTCGTTGAATTGCAGAAATTCTTAAAAAGGTTGAAGGAAGATCTCAAAATTTAAATGAAGGTAATTCAGATAAAAGTAGGAAGTGACAGCATAAGAGGTGACTCTTTAGTTAACCGACATACCCATACTACGCCCCATACTAATGCATTGCTATACTGTTTTGTTCTTATGAAACAAAATAGTTCTTTAAAAGATTTGCATTTATGGAAGAGGAAATAAAGCAAGGAGATGAAGGAGATAGGATAGTCGCTTCTTTCAATCATATGAAATTACGTTCTGCATAGCTGTAATTTTTCTCACGTCTGAATGATCGTCCAGAACTTTGTGACTTCATAGATTGCAAGAAATGTGGGCGACATACAAACAGTGATATTAAATAGGATCTATACAGCAGCTCGAGACCATTTGAGGATTTAATTAAACTAATGATCATGTATGGTCGCCCAGAAATTGTTAGTTATTTCTCAGAATTTAGAGCGAATTCAAAATTCTCTCATCCAATGTAAGCTCTCGTATTTATTATTTTTCATATTGTGATCACAGAAGATACTGGCATCTTCCAATGTTTCTAGTTACCAAGTAATACTTTTTTTGTTTTCAGCTGTAAACGTGGGCACGTGGGCCTCGAGTGTTATTCCTGACGCCCCTACTGGTGGTTTATTTAATAACGAACATATTCACTCTTTGGAAAGTTTTGTTAATGGTAGTTCTTTGCTTTTTATTTACCATCGAAGTTTTATGTTAAAACTTTTTCGAAACTTGGTCCTTTAAATCGTTCTTTTGCAACATTTTTACAGAGTAAGATTTCAAGTGACTGATGTACACCATTATGTTAACTTACTTGGACAGAAAAGAGTTAATAAGGAAATTTCATTGTGGGATACGGAAGATTATGAATCAGGTGTGAAAACCAAAAACTCTAAAAGATGTAACTGGTTAGTTGCGATATTTCCAGAAGTTTCATCGGATTGGTGTTGTCATTTGGTAGATGACGGTGCGTTAGCAATATTTTTACCTTTTGACCAGCGCACATGGAATTTATCGAAGGGTGCATTTGTCTCGTTGCTAGAATTTTGTGAAGACAATTTGCCAGTTAGACGTATTTTGCTATGCCTAAACAAAAGCAGTGTTGATGGAATGGTACATTTTGATTGGATTGCTTTTGTTAGAATGTTTTATTGAGATTCCTTTGTTGTTCATAACAGATGGCAGATGAATAGTAAACACCTTTTTGTGAAGAAATTATCTGGACTCAGTTAATCATTTCAGTACATTATTCAGATGTTAATGGTTTTTGAATTATAATCATATAAGAATCGCTACACTTTACCCTGCTCTAAAGAAATATCGAAATATAATATTATCGAATGTAATACTTTCTAATGTTAGGTTAACTTTTTCTGTTTCTTTAATCTCGATTATTTCAGGTCGTGTCCTGCTTCAAGTATCTGGGCTTCAGTCCTCTTCATCCTCATTCATATCCATCTTGCATTGACCCTCAAGGAGTGTTTGCAATGGTTTACAATATGTAGCACATTTTTTTGATTCTCAGCTTAGGTTTAAATACCTGGCAGTAATTTGAGAGTGTTCTGGTTTGCATGGTGAGACATTTCTTATGATTAGTAAGTTAATATTGCGGTACATTCTCAGGTATTCTGATTGGTAAATGACAATTTCGATTTCTACTCTCATATATAAAAATTTCTGTTTTGATTTTGCTTTTCTTTGTATAATATGCTTATTACTTCGGGACTGATGTATATGCTTATTGGGTAGAAGATTGAAAATTGAGATCATGATTTATAATTTTCGTGGGTGAAATGTTTATTCTAAAAATGACGCGCTTCAAAAGAATAGTAAGTTAATAGAAACAGCATAATTTTCTGGTTCTGTTGTTCGTACGTTTTGTAAACCATGTTTGTACCAACCGTTTACTTAGCATGTGGTCTTATTTTAATTTGGTTTGCTAGACATTTTGGTATATTATTTCAGATTTTGGCATGGCTTCGTTTTTGTAAATGACTTTCTATCCACTGACATACAATTCCATTTATTGTAATGCTTGGAGCGGATTCATTTGGAGTGGTGTTGTAACTTTATAAGAAATACAAATAGTTTTATATAGAAATTTCCTTGTCGCTTACATTTAAAATCAAAATATGTACTGCATACTTTTTTTCTAAAAGAAATGCGAGGAGTTAAATACGAATTTCACTGAAATCTATAAGCTTTTAACGGACCTTCAATATAAATTGATAGGTAACAAATCTAAAAAATGTAGCAGAAGATGTGGGGTGGATTTTTACAATTTTTGTTTTGCGGAATAACCAGAACAAAGACGAGTAAGATGACCTCGATTTGGGGACATGAATTTCAAAGATTCTGTTAGTAACCTTAAGGTGGTCTTGAATAAAGAGAGAAGTTTCGAAAAATAGTATTTTCCTCAGAGTTTTTAGAAGACGTGCTTTGCGTGATTCATGTTAGGCTTGTAAAGGATTTGTATAGGAAAAATACTGGGTATCTTGCTCGTATCATTTATAGGTAGTGATTAAGCTCAGAAGAAAACAATTCGTTATCAGGATTGTGTTAAAACATCAAAGAACTATCAGAAGATGGGAGGGTTTTATGATTCGTCAGACGATCGGAATCTAAAATATCTTCTGGATATTTTGCCACTGGAAACTGTTGAATATGCATGCGCCTATGGTTCGGGTGCGGTACCGCAGGAGAGCGGTGGGACATTCGACGAAATGATCGATTTCATTATTGCAACGCGAGATTCAAATCAATTTCATAAGCAGAATTTGAACATGAATCCGATGCACTACTCATCGTTACGTTTTCTGGGTTATCAAAAGATTGCACAAGTGCAAAGGAGCTATGCCGCTCGGGTCTATTGTAACACTCGAGTTTCGTACAAAGTATGGTTTAAATCCTAATTTTTTTGAAATTTTTGACAACGCTTTGACTGGTTATGATGGTGCAAATTTTTGCATCTGATAACTAACATCTTAAGTTTCTATGAGAAACTCAGAAGTCAAAATCAAAGAATCTCATCTAGAAGTTTGAAAAAATTACTGACCTGGTCACGTATGTAATAAATTGAAGCTCCTTTTCAGGATCAATTTATTAAGTATTCTGTGATTGATGCCGATGATTTGTTGCTGGATCTAATCGAATGGAGATGGATGTATTTGGCTGGAAGATTACAGAAACATGTTGTTGATATCGTCAGTCCTTCATCGAGGATAACTTCCGCTATGAAAAAGAACCGTTCTAGTGCTTTACAGGTAGTCGAACCTTCACTAACTTTTCTGCGGAACTTTAATTTTCTTGAAAGCATAAGTTGATATAGACTTTGAGGCATCGTGATTGTTTTTGCCGAACAAATGTACACTTTCACAATTTTCAGGCGACATTGTTACTTTTGCCGGATAAATTCTCACTTTCACAATTTTATAATGAGCTCATATCGCTTTCATATCGTGGTGATTTTCGAATGTCATTTGGTGAAGACAAAAATAAAATAAGAAGAATTGCTGAGGGAAGTAAGACTCAGCTTAATCAGATCTATGCGCCACTCTTGGAAGCTGACAAATATATTTCCATTCAAGGCTGCACCGTCGAACAAGTAATCATGTTTTTTTCAGAATAATGTCATGTGTTACGAAATTTCATTCAATTAATGGCAAACTGTCGACCACTATAAACCTTTTGAAAAATAAGATGAAATAACTGACAGGCTTAGAATTAAAAAAAGCGTTGTTTCTATCCCGTATTGTATCCCATATTGTGTAGTATTAATTTTTTTTAGGACAGACGTAGTTCCGTATTTTATAAACGAATTATGGAATTACCCTTTAACGTACTTTGGAATTTACAACGCAGAATTAACGGCAGGAACGGAATGCAAAACGATATAGGTACACTTTTTAAAACGTCATTTATACTTGCTATTGTAAAGTAGACAAAAAACTCAAAACTCCTAAGCATTATGGTTGAAGAGGAGATTGCTGCTTTACTGGCACGACAACTGAATGGACCGAAACCTGTTGCTGCGGCCATTGAAGATATTGTCCGAAGATCTGCTTTGCAACAGACTGCAAAAAATGCATTTTCTGCAGGTATCACACGCTCAATTGCTTATGCTTTTACAAAGACCACAAAAATGCTGAAGTCAATGAAATATTTATAATATAAATACATGTTTTGACAAATAAAAACGTTGGGAGAAAACATGATACTGTATAAGAAGCATAATACTATTTTCTCCTTCATTTGCGAGACTTTTTATTGCTGAAATTAACAGGTTGCTGATGATTTCCAGTGAATGGTCCTAAAATAGGGATAGGGGGCGGACATCCTTTTTTTCGTCAAAAAATCCAATTTAATGCTCTAAATATTTGGTCACCTCTTTTTTGTTGCTAAAATAAAAGTGCAGTTATAAGAGCACCTCTATCCCAACAGTGTTAATGATGTTTTCAAATTCAGCACAAAGGCCATTTCAAAATTTGTTGTAAAAGAGTCATTCAAAGGAAATGTTAGTGTATTGAAAGTAAGAGGGCGACGAGGCTTATGTAGATTCTGCCCCATGAGCTTCATTTAAATGTTTCATGGAGAAGTCAAGTTCCCCATAATGTAATAAGTGTGAAGTAGAATGTCTCGGAGAGGTCAAGAATATGAATAGAATTCGTCAAGAATCTTCTAAACGTTAAAAGAGACTAAAACTGTATCACTAAAAATGCTTAGTGACAGGAGACTTCGTATTTCAATTCTGGATTCTGGAAAGCTTTGGGAAAAAAATTATAATAAAAAAACAAACAATAAATTTGTATGAGTTGAATTTCGCCTCGAAAGAGGAACTGTTGAGATAACTAACTGAAAAAAGTTGTTTTATTGTTAATTGACTTAAATTGATAGATCAATTGACTTAAAAAGTTGAATGATAAAAATCCATACAAAGCAAAACCTTAACATACATTACAAAAACGATCACTAATGTTTTACAATAAGTAAAGATCCATAAATGCGTGAAAAAATATAAACAGAAGGTTCACTTTGGAAATGACAGATAGATGATTTTTGAGGAACATTCCTTATTTTAATATTATGCAATCATTTCGCTTTAGCTTTTGAAACTAACGCACTTTAGGGGAGATTCAAAATGTTTTTACTCTCATAGATTTGTTGTAAGCGATGGAAAACTTTTTCTGTAACATCAATAAGCTTAGTAATTGCCTGCTTAACTTCATGCTCATATTGCGGACTCCTCTCATTTACAAGCACATTCAACAAATAATCCCGAGATGAAAGGAAATGGATCGCTACGCCAACAAGCTTCCTAACAATCCAACTATGATGTTTCGATAGCGTGCTATCATAACTTTCCTGGCATAATGCTGAAATCTGAAATTATTCAGAAAATAATTTAACTCTAAGTTTATGGAGTTTCCGACGAAGGCGCAATAAACTAAATTCCACTGTATTCTTCTGAATAGAAGCTACTCATATTAATTCGGGATACCATATGGATTAATCAAATACTTCCACGGTTATATACTCTACGATAACTTCGGATATGTCTGCTAATGGAATATATTTAGGATTCTTGCTTGAAAAACCTTAACATACCTGATCTCCTTCACGGGAATCTTTCAAATTTTTCAAGAAATCAACGATAAATAATAGAGCTCTATGCAATCGTAGTAATGTCCTTGAACCCTTCAATGTAGCAATAAAAAATCCAAATTTTACGAGATACGATGTAGAGCGTGAGTAAGAAGTAAAACTCCTATCTTGCAAGATTTTCTTTAGGTTTTATGAATAACCAACGTAGTTACTTTTTCAGATGGTGCACCCGAGCGACATTCCCAAGATACCATGCTATTTACAGTGTCATAGTGAGCCGGATCGGCTGCATGTAACTCATGCAGGATTTTTTCTTTTTCCAATAAATCTTTCTCAACAAAAGAAAATCCTTTACTGAGGAGTGGGAAAAATCTGGAACAAAAACTGCTTTGAAAGATTGGAGTTTATTAATGGAAAATTTCTTTTCCGGGAATTAGGGATGACCTGAAACACGCACATATATATTATTGAAATAAAAATTTTAATAGTTTGTTTATAAACAAATGAAGGAGTCCTTACTGGTCGATTTACAAAGATTACGTTTATAGGACCTTATCGTTCAATTCTTAGTTATTGTCGGGAACACAAAAAAATAAGGTCTCTAGGAAACTGTCCTGCCACACAATTAGAAACTGGAATGTCTAAACCACAAAGGTCATTCGCAGATTAAAAGCTGCTGTGCATAATAGGAAGTTAAGATCATTAGATTCACTGTCAAAAGTTCTGCCAGCTAAAGCGAGAAGCTCAAACTAATTCAATATCAAACTACAAAAAATAGACAATATCTATGATATATTAATAAACTTGCAACTCGTATTCATCCTTATTTAACTCAATGTTTGTGGAAAGATGGATGTATGTTCTTATAGATCAACATTATTACAATGTTTGAACGTCAAATGGATTAGTACAACATGAAAGCTTTTCGAATTAATTGATCCACAATAACCATTCTTTAATTCTCAATTCTAAGTTTTTTTTTTGTCTACGATTAAATTAACTGGTAATTTTGGAGTAGTTTCAGTCAATGAAGCACTAAATCTCCAATTTCATTTTTATCTAGTGTTAACTATCTTCTAAAACAAGTTAAGCAATGCAAACTGATTAGTCAAAACAAGAATTTCAAATCAAAACACTGGGAAAAGTGCTTTACTTGTTAATTTGTCGATATGCGTCAATGTATAACGGCAGGCTAACGTCATTGTCACCCACAAGTGAGTTCTCAAATAATTCCGTAATCAAATTGACATCAAAATCACTTTCTCCTGTTACGATTCCCTCCGTCATTTTATCTGCCTGTTCAATTATTGTACTTGTTATTGTACTGCCTGTTCAATTAATTATTGTACTTTATTGTCGTCTACATTTACAAACAAACGAAATAAAGAACTGAGAGAAAAAAGAAGGAAAGAGAAGGAGAGGGAAAGAGAAAGGACAAAGGCCAGTCTTCTATTGACTAGCGTCATTAGAGTGAACTGATTAGTTAACTAGGATCATCAGTCAATTCGTGCGTGTGGTACTTCACGGTTGGGTATACCAACATTCTTTGCTCATGCTTTCATTTCCAGATTCTCTTCCGATAATTGGGTAGAGTTAATAGCGTTGGTTATTTTACTGAACGATTGAGGTGCTTCATGTCTGAACGCCTGATCTATATATAGTGAGCATCAAATCTCATTACGTACATGAGATCTGTACGTATCTGTATGTGTTCTAGCAGTTACAAATCATCGAAGTATTAATAAAAACATTTTTATTACAGGTGAAATGGATTGGAACAGTTGGGAAGAGTCGAGAAGAACTGGGTTTGATATTGCTGAAGCCGCCGTAAAATTCAGTTCTGATAACAGGTAATGAAGAGTTGGATTTCATTCCTGAAGAGACATTTTATTTATCCCTTAGAAATGTTCTGATTTTTTATCACTCACGTATTAAATATCACTTGATCAATGTCTTCTATTTTTCATTTCTAAGGTTTTTTATTGCGTAATATTTTATTTATTACAAAAGGTATGGTGGTTTTCGCAAAAAAATCAAAAAATTTGGTAACCTCATGTCAACAACGTGCGATAGAAAACAGTGTGGTATTTCTATCATTGATTTTCGTTGCAGGCAAGCATTCATCGTTTCTAATAAAGATGTATTAGTTGTCGAGGTAAAAAGTGGTCGTCGTATGCAACTTCTGACTCATCCTGCAAAGATTATCAGCCTTTATTATGCATTTCCGGGCAAAGTAAGTTTCGAAATTTGTAAATTGAGCAACCAAGTTAGTGTAATTCACTGTGCTTACAAAATTCAGATCTCGAATTGCATTGTTAACACATAGTTTTATTTGTTCACATATTGGAATTGTATTGGCATTGTAGTGAGATATTAGTCTTAACCATTCCCAATGCATAAAAAGTATTTTAGGCAGTAACTTATACCATTGATGGTACAGAATATATCTGGAGCACTGATACGTGGACTATTCTGCGTTGTCGCGAACTGAATTGTACACCTCTTAATGTTTGGCATTCATGTGAAACAACTTTGGTTAGTTCTATTAAAAAACTTAATCATCAGGCAAATTTATTTTTCAATTTGCTCATTATTCCAGGTGGTAACTAAAAGTGAGAGCAAGGAATTGATTATTACAAAGATTAACGGAAATGAAGTTCTGCAAAATCAAGAAATTCTACGAACTGGGCGCCATAATATTGGATCTTCTCAGTTTGCTGTTACTGTAAGAAACTTAACTGCGATTATTCTTTCTGTATAATTTGAAGATTACCTATATCTCTCATGAAAATTTTATAGAAATGGTACAAAAATAATGAAAATTCCGGCGAAATATAATCTGTGCTGTTTCAGGATGATTACTTTGTGTGTTGCGAGAAACTCTTTGTATATCTTTACACCTTTGGTGAAACTGGAGCTAAACGATTCAAATATATTGGAAAAGCGGATTTTATGGATTCGTCATTACTGGAATTTATAAGTATTACAGCACTTGGGGACACAGTGGCAGCCTCAATATCATTTGGCCGTGTTTTTATATGGTTCGTCAAATGGAGATCATGAAATATAACGATATAAAAGTCATGAAATATAAAAATTGAAATACAAAATTTCGCTAATGATTTCTTTTTTAATTCCATTTAGGAATAAAAGCCTCAAGAATATATCATCGAATGTGCAGCACGTTTTTCTATGGCATTGTGCTTTAGCACTTGATTTTAGCTGAAATTTATTTCATAAGTAATGGGTTTCAATCAATTTTTTTGAATAGAATAGCACATCATTTCTGAGTATTTCTAATCTTTGAGTGAAATTCTTCATAAAGTTTTACTTAAATAAACTGAACTATTAACAATTATTTTTCAGGAATAACGTGAGTCGAAAAGGCATCCATACGTTCAGTCAATCATTACATTGGCATAAATGGGCTCCATGCTTAGCTTTAACTGAATCTAATACTTTATTTTCTGCTGGTGATGAAGGTGTTTTGGCGAAATTTGCACTCTCAGAATTAAAGTCGATATCTAAGCCGCAGTTGTTACCAAGATTGCAAGCACCAGTTCGAAGACTTAATCTTTCTGAAGATGATTCTATTATAGCCGTTGTACTGGCTGACAACTCCGCACATTTCATTCTCAATTCAACACTTAATGTTCTTTCCTCAATGGAATCAATTCTCTGTTCTCCGAAAAAATCGCTGTTTTCCCTCACTGAGGATCCCCTTTATGCAAATTATGTTGTACACAGTGCACGTCCTGGTTTTATGCAGTGGATTGTACCATCTACAATGATCTCTATCGCGACGGTATTTCATTGTAACTTCCATCTAAACAGCTTTTAGATATTAACATGCAGTATATTTTTTATCATTTTTATCAGATGGATTATTTAGATAAATTATCTAAATAATCTTCCTCTCGCGATATTATTGATTTATAAGCAATATAGATTGTTCCAGTAGTTCATTGCTCCGAAGTTTGTAAACATTGGTTGGTATTTTTATTAATTTCATTGATAATTTATTGTAAAGCTCCAAAACTGCCCTAATATTCAATGATGCAACTGTATGCCGGACATTGGCCATCAGATGAATCATTTCTTTGCAGCCCTCTTCTGTTGGAACAAAATATCAAAAAGAGATGTAAATGATTAAAAATCATTACTGCTTCATTTTATAGGCTGATGTATCTAGAGAGAATCCGGTAGAAGGAGAAAATATATTTTCTGATACAACAGGTTACATGGACATTTGTGAAGTTGCATTATCACGTACAATGGTAATAACTGCTGATTGTAATGTCGGTTTTGATATACCAAATGTAAGTTTTCTGTACTATTAGAATATTGCTTATTGACCAGACGTTGAATTGTTAATTTAAAGACCAAAATAAAATTCATTCACTAAATTAAAAATTAGATATGTTCATCTTTCATCAAAATATTTGATAGCAAAAATTTCAGAATCGATTGCAATTTTGGCGTCGAAATAAAGATTTGGGTTCATTTGCTTTAGAATATTGCGAATTATATGTTGATGGAGTTGTCAAATTTATTCGAGCCTGTCTTGATCGCGACATGTTCATTACTGTTGACAATAAGGTTAATTATTTCAGAATTTTTTTTAGTGTTCCAGTTTCTAATAAATAAAAGTAAGCGCTGTGAAGAAAATATTTGTTCACTACAGTTCTTTTTCTTTGTCAACTAGAGGTGATTACTTTATTAATTATATGCTTGCTAATTATTTCAGGGAGTTTTGTGTACATGGGAAAGAGTGAAAAGTGATGAGAAAAAGTGGTATAAGTCCAGCGAAATTCACTGGATGGATGTTCCTATTTTGTATATATCAAGGATACAAAAATCCCATTTTGCTGCGATTCATGATGTTTCTTTTTTTTCTTTTAAACTCGAAACCTATAAAATTTTGTAGTAGATTGGATTCCAATGTAAAATTGAATTTTGATTTTTAAATTTACTAACCACTTCATTTCCAGATTAGTCAGAAGGCCGGTGGAGTTGTTGCACTGTGGAGCGTGGAACAAGGAAAATCTGCACGGGTAGTTTACGTCCATCAGAGCAACGATAAACTTACGGCAGTGGAATGGGGTCCTCCTAGTAATGCAAACTTACTTATCATATCATCCAAGAGTTGTATTTATGCTTTCAATGTATACACGCTTGCACCATTATGGATCGTTTGTGAACCGGACTTGAGACTCGCTGTAACATCACAATTTACGGTTGTATATAAAAAAAATGGTTCGAGTTTCTCCTGTTGAAAAAAATTTTCTAACTGGTTTAAAATTATTATTGAAGTTTTAATATATGTGCAGAGCCCAAACAGTGACATCAAAAACTACCATGCTGAATAATGCATAGCGAAAATTTGTGTTGTTGTAATAAACGCGAAATTTTTTGCAGTTGTTTTTGTGATCGATAGCTCTTCCGGTACCTTATTGTGCGAGAGGAAGTTAAATTCAATTCCAGAAAGTGTTATTGCTATTGGAGAGGGCCGAATGTTTACAGTGATTGCCGCTTATGAAAAAGTTTGCTTTATATTTTTTAAAAAAGTATATTGAAATCAGCAATGTTGTTCGTACCACGTAACCTAATCTGTTCCGATTCTGCAAGTTATTGTGACCAACCAAGAAATATTATGTTTTTACCTCCTATTCTGTGAGCTATGTGCAATGTTAGAGACTTTGCCTTTCAAATTTTTTGTAACAACTTTATGATCGCTTCCTTTTTCCTCAAAAAAAAAATCATTTTAGGGCTATGGAGTGATTGCAAGGTCGGAATTACTAGAAGAAGCACGAAAGCAATTATATACAAGGAATACAGAGTTGAAGAAGACTCCATTTTCAAATTTATTAACTGTTGGCAAGAAAGAAGTTGAAAGTAACAAAGTTCGTATAGAAACTTTATCCAATTTGGAAATCTTCTCTGGACCATCATATTCACTTGCACCTATGCCATATTTGGCTCAAAAATTTATCCGTTCATGTTTTTTGTTACCTCAACAATTATGATACTGGTAAGCAATGCTGATTGTGCAATAATTTATCTTGGATTGTTTTAGTTTATTCATTTGCAGTGACAAATTTAAATGATTTATTCTTTTAACTTTTCAAAAATTTAGAGATTTTTAATCTTTCTTCACTCAAATTACATCAACAATATGAAAGGACTGTTTTCCAAATATTGAACTTAATACTGTTAAAATTAAATTATCGGATTTACTATCATAGTAAATAACCTAACAAACAGTCAATATGAGAAATAATGTTTAATCTGTTATACAATGCATAATGTTAAATTCATTAAGTTATAAGATCTTAGATTTAAATTTCTAATTTGAAATTTGGAAACATGTTTTCAGGGCTTCTATCTCTTAGAGCTTTTTGTAATTTCTTTCATAACATGCTTGTAACTTCTATCTTTTATGCATTTAGCAAAAAATTGCGTTATATGGTCATTCACAAATTTTGTATTTCGGTTAGCAATTGAAATTATTCTAACATCGGAATTGTTCTCAGGACATTTAAAAAAAATAGAAATATCTAATGCGGAATGCAGCACTGTTTTCTTGGTAGTATTTGTTACTCTGCTGTTAAAATGATAAACTTCGATTATTCATTGTTGATAAAATTTGGTTATGTGAGGAAAATTCATTGGTGATAAAAAGCAAAAAGTTTCGTATGGTAGCGAGAAGTTACCATTCTCAAATTTGGTACAAGAAAGAATCTTTGGAATTGTAACGGCACTGGTTTTATATCGCATATTGGTGTTGTTTCGACATCAGTTTGTCGCCTTGTACAATGCATAATGTTGAATTCATTAAGTTATAAGATCTTAGATTTAGATTTTTAATCTGAAATTTGGAAACATGCTTTCAGGGCTTCTATCACTTAGAGCTTTTTGTAACTTCTTTCATCCCATCAAATGATGTGAAATGGATGGTATAGGTCCAGTAATTTTATTATATTTTTTTAATGAAGACTCTGTACAGTTGGTAGAATTAACTAAAAGTAATTGTTGTCAGTGACTAGACGGGTAAAGTTTTGGGTTAACAATTGAACTGTTTACTATCTTTTTTAAGATACATAATAAATAAGGTCATATAAAGATATTGAGGTGCTGCGGGGTGTGCTTTGAAAGTACCTTTTATTCATGTTTGGAAAAATAGTCGAAGTAGGCATTGTAGTACAAAAAAATTATAGACAAAATATAGATTTTATCATAAATTCGTTTAATTTTCAAAATATTAGTGGAGAAACAATTTTCATAGAACCTAGAGGAATTGATTCCTTCTTAGAGATAAACTGCCTTCCTCTTTTCGTTTCTTTCAATTTCCACCTTCATTTCATTCAGTTTAATTACTTTATTAAAATTTGCTGATAACATTGACAAATTTATAACATATACCTTTATATTTTCATACATCGTTATATGGATGTATTTTTAAACAGGAAAAAAGCATATACTGTGTACTCAAGTAATATGGTAGTAGATAAGTGTATTATTTAGAGGAAGCATAAAATTTGCAATTGGGAAAGTCACCAACAACTTCAGGATATCAATACAATCATCAGTTTAGTGAATTCGATAAATCGAAAGCAATCAAGAAGATCATGAGAGCGATCAACAATTTCAATTCTGTTGAAAACATCAATTAATTTATGTTCATTGAACATCAAAAATCAAGTTTGGACTAGCGACTTGTTATCACTTTCTTTTCGAATATTTTCCATTATAAATGACAATATTTGTATATTACAGAAGTAATTGATATCATTTATTAGCATCAAAAAATTGCTGGTTTAAATGATCGATTGGATAAATGAAGTAGTAAATAAATCAAACAAAACGATGTTAGAAATTCTTTGAGAAGAGCGATATGTGGACATGTCCAATCATAATGGAGCGGTCAATACTTGGATCAATTAACCTGTTTTGCATGCTTTAACATTCCTCAAACGTTTATATAAAACTTTTTGTGATAAATAGTCGATAAATAATAGTCTTTTGTTTTGGTATGCGTAAAAAAATTAATGGAAATGTTTTGCTTTCTTTCTTCTTTTTTTCTTTTCTATTTTAAGAATCTTATGAAAACATACAACTTGATTTCTTTATCAATAAAAAAGGAATTTCAATTCAATCTGGAAAACATCGTGATAATGGATAAGTGACGAAGTTGTAGAACTTGCAACTCCTTCCACATGTTCCATAGCGAAGTCTATAACAAATCATTCTGCATAGGTGAAACTTACGGAACTTCAAAATATAGAGCAAACTAACC